CAGCAAAAATAAACTCAAAGAAGTTAGAACAAGGAAAAAATAATAAGACATGAAATTAATAAAGTAGAAAACAAGCATACTATAGAGATTCATGATATCCTGAAGGCAGATCTTGGAAAAAGCTAGAGTTATTGATAAAACTCTGCAAAAACTGATAAAGAAAGGAAGAAATACACAACACATATTAGGGATAAGAATGACTTCACAGTCACTGCATAACTTACATGATAGAAACATATGCTAAATAACTGTGAAAATTTAGAGAAATATATGTAATTTTTAAAATTAAAAAATGCCTTAATGATATCAAAATGGAGTAAAAATGTAAATGATCTTAAAACTAATAAAAAAAGTGAATCACTAATCAAAAACTACCCTCCAAGGAAGATTCTTGACTTCGATGGCTGCAGTGGAGCATGCTACCAAGCATTCAAGAAACAAAATTTTTATTTGTATTTTACATAAAATCTTTCACAGAAGAACAGGGCACCCCACAACACATTTTAGGAGGCCAGCAGACCCCTGGGTAGCTCAGTAGGTTGAGCATCTGACACTTGATCTCAGGGTTGTGAGTTCAAGCACCCTGCTGGGCATGGAGCCTACATTAGGAGATAAAAAACCAGGGGATCCCTGGGTGGCTCAGCGGTTTAGCACCTGCCTTCAGCCCAGGGCGTGATCCTGGAGTCCCGGGTTCAAGTTGTGCATCAGGCTCCCTACATGGAGCCTGCTTCTCCCTCTGCCTGTGTCTCTACCTGTCTCTCTGAGTCTCTCATAAGTAAAATCTCTTAAAAAAGAGAAAAAACCAAGGACAAAATGAAAAAAAATTTAAAACCACATAATCTATAATCTCACTCATGAAAATAGATGTAAAATTTTAAAATATTAGCAAACCAAATCTTAGGACATATAGGAAGGATAATGTACCGCGGCCCAGTCGAGTTTATCCTAGCGAGTGCAAAGTTGATCTGACATTAGAAAATCTATTAATGTCTGCAGCAAATCCAAGGAGATGTATTCAATATAACCTCACTTCCATTCGTGATTTTTTTTTTGTCCATTGAGGCATTTTATTTACACATATGAATTACATCCCTAGAAAAAGAATCCCAGGATTTTCCCTGTGTTTTCGTTTTGCTTCTTCATGGTCCGTGATGCCAGCTGAGATTGTCAGTATAATGAAACCAAACTGGCGGGATGGGAGCAGGTTATTCTGCCATTTTTCTAGATCTTTCAGTTGTGCATCAAATCTGGGGCTGATCATTCCACACTGTTTAACCTGCTTGTGAGGTTCACAACAATTTTCCCAGCTCTGTGATCATCAATGATTTCAAATTCACCAATGTAACCATGCTTCATCATCACAGTGAGAAATCGGCTGATGACTTTGGAGCATGACCTAATAAGAACCACGAGAGAGGCGTTTGGCTCTCTTTTCAGCTTTGTTAATGCTCTTGAGAGCATCTGCAGAGACGGGGGGGGGGGGGGCGGGAGGGGCCATTCATTATTTTTAAGATGCTTAATAAACTACCCAAAGTAGATAATACCCATAACTTGCCAAAATTATCTACAAATTCCTACAGCAAACTTCATCCTTGATTGTGAAACCTTGACATTTTCTTTGAGGTTGGAGATGCAACAAGGATGCTGATGCTCTCTCCTATCGAACGTTTTATCAGACAAAGGAGGTTACTCACGCATTGTTGGTGGGTGCTTAAGACCGTCCAACCACTCTGGAAAACACTATGATGGTTTCTTTAAAAACTGAACACGTAACTACCATGTGACCCTTTGGGTAATCTTTGGGTTGCACCTTCGGGTATCTTTCCCAGAAAAAAACCTATACTCTGATGTTTACAGCCCCAAACTGGAAATAATCCGGATGTCCGTCACAGGGTCAAGAGGTAAAGTAACTGGTGCATCTTGCCCTAGCCTTCTCCCCTGCACGGCTGGCTCTGTCCCCACTGCACCTAGCTGCCCTGGATGCTCCTCACTGCACCTGACACTAGGTTTGGTGCGGGGCCACCGGGCCCAGGCCGGTTCCCCAGCTAGAGGCCGTGGGGAGGTGAGGGCAGTCCCCTTGCTGCAGCGGGGGACTCCGGTGGGACCCTATTGAGCCGCCCCCGGTACTTCAGGTCCAATCCATCATTTAGCCTAGTTCCCGTCACTTTCAGATCAGTACATCATCTACACCCTTGGCCCAAGGGTCCCCGGCTAGCTCAGTCGGTAGAGCATGAGACTCTTAATCTCAGGGTCGTGGGTTCAAGCCCCACGTTGGGCGGCTTGTTTTCTTGCTTTGCAGCGCTTAACTCGGCAGGAGGCAATTAGGGGGCAGTGTGGATGCACCACAGGGGGGCAGCCTTCTACGCAAGGCTTCCCAGTGACCTAGAATTGAAAGACAGGCGACGCCGCCGGGGGTGGGGACACGCGACCGGGCGGCCCTCGCTGGCTTTTGCCCGAGGGTCACCAGCGGGCTCACTGCTGCGAGGAGCGTCTGCGAAGTGACCGCGCGTTGCCGCGGGGACGCACGGAGAGTCTGCCGGGCTGGGGGCTGGGGGCTGGGGGCTGGTTGTTGCGTGAGCGCTGGGGCCTCCAGAATAGGGGGCGTCAGGGGCTGCTCCCCACCCTGTGGGCTACTTCCGCGCCCGCCGGCGCCTGAGCTCTGCCTTCCCTTGCGGGTCTAAAGTCCCAATCCCCCTTCCCGCGTCACTTCCTTGATCCCATTCATCCCAGTCCCCGGGGCGCCACGAAGTCATAAGGAGAGCTGGAGAAAGCTGCCCCTGCGGCTCGTTGGTCTAGGGGTATGATTCTCGCTTAGGGTGCGAGAGGTCCCGGGTTCAAATCCCGGACGAGCCCTTCTTTTGTACGTAGACTTCATGTTAGAAATTGAAACCGCCCGCGGGCCTCAGCTTTTGCTTGACCAGACAGGACAAGGCACGAGAGGATGAGAAGAGAAACTTTAAAAGCGTCCAGCTTGTTCCGGCTGCTTTAAAAACTTTAAGCAGGAAAAAAAAAAAAGTAATAAAAGTAAAAATTTAAAGCTGGAGGCCCAGGGCTGCCGCGGTGCAGGCATTCCGGAAGAGGGCGCTCCCCGGGGCAGTGCAGGGCTGGAGGTTGGGGAAGGGGAGTCCCAGAGAAGCAGCTCTCCCCCGCAGTCACCCCTTTGTGGGTTCAAGGCCAGCCATTCCCCAGAGGCGCTCAAAGGCCCCCTGCTAAGCACCCAGGAATTTACACACCGAAGTGCTGGCGGTGACTGTACTTGGACGGAGCGCCCGGCCCTCCTCCCTTCTCCCCCCACCTCCTCTTTCCTTATTCCCGTCCCCCTGACCTGGGCGCTCCAGGCCTGGGGTCCGAGTGCGCTCAGGACTACGGTCCTGTGCCCCTGTCAGAACGTCAGACTGTGAGGTCCAGGAGATGGGAGGTCCAGGTAGGGCTTGACTTTGACCCCTAAAGAGTCTCTATCCTTGAGAGCTGCTTTCCGCAAAGGGTGCAGTGTCCCGGCTCTCCGGGCACCCGGGGCCGGGCCGTAGCTCGGGCGGAAGTCCTTTCTTCCAGAACCCACGCGGGCCCCGAGGCTGCCTGTAGAGTTAGATTTCCTGGGGGCAACCATCTCTGCTCTAAAGGCTTCTTTTTTCCCCCCTCTGTAAGCCGTTTTGTTTTGTTTTGTTTTGTTTTGAAAAAAAAAAAATGGTAACAGCTTTAAGGAAATTACTACAAAAAAAAGGAAAAAAAAAAAAAACATTCCAGGAGGGACTCGTGGTTTCCAGTAACACAAATGGGCGGGATTTGGGGGAACCAACCGTTTAGCTAGAAACAACGGAAAATGTTGGATATTCAAAACAAACAAGCACACTTAAAAGCGGCGAAGAGCTTTCGGGAGAGGGAAAAAAAAAATCCTGGCTACATTTAAAGGGAGGCGGAAAAGCAGAGGGGCGCGTGGATCCCCAAGCCACGGTCGCATCGGGGGCATTTGCCAATCTCCGAAACGTGCGAGACGAAGGCAAAGCTCGGGATCCGCTCCTGGGTTCCCCTTGAATCTGTGTCCCCGAAAGGCGAGCGTGCACAGAAATACACCCGTCCTACCCCCACGGGCCTCCAGCTACTTTTGGAAGGCGTGTTGCCTCGGGCCTCCTGCTCTCACGCCTTCGGCTAAAATGCAAATAATTTTTAAAAAGAGGCGGAGATTCCGAGCAGTCCAGCCCCCCCACCCCCCAAGGACCCCACGTCTACAGCGTCCTAGTTTGTCTCGGTGCCGGAGACGCGTGTCCCCTCCCTCCCAGGCCGGCCCTCCCTGCCTGCCGCTTCCCCCTGTGGGCCTGTGGGCCGATCGCCAGGACAGGCGGCGCGAAGGACACTAGAAGACGCGGCAACTAATGCAAAGTGTGCTCTCTGATTCGGCTCTGGATTTTTTTTTTTTTTAAGCCATAAAGCGCGGTTTGGGAGGAAATTCGAATATGGACCGTACGTTCGATAATCGTGTGGCACGAATGACAAAGGATAAATTTGGATGCAGGCTCTGAGGTCCCGGGAGTTCTTAGGGGGATGGGGAGGGAATCTTAGGAGGCTTGGGATTCTGCTGATTGATTGATTGATTGATTGATTGATTTTTTTAACCCTTGGATAAATTACAAACCTCCGTGAATACAGGCGGAGGTGTTTGAAGGAAATTGCAGGGAGCGTGTCCCCGACCCCCGAGGCTCCAGCTTCGGGCCGCCCCGCCGCGCGCGGTGAGGTCCGGGTCTCAGCCTCCTCGCACTCGAGCCCCGAGAGGCGCGGTCCAGGATAGGATCCTCCCGCCCCCCGCGGCTCCGGCCTGGGCCGAAGGGCTCCGACTTTGGCCTGCGGGGGGGCGTCCGGGGGCCTGCCGGGGTGGTCTCCCCGCACCGCCCCCCACCCCCAGCCCTGCGCTCGGTGGGGTCCTTGGTCAAGCGAGGTCTGGGGAGGCCCGGGCGCTTATCAGTGGCGCAGCTGGGGGGCCCGGCCGGATGCTCCACCGACTGATCCAGCCGGAGTCCCTCACTGCTCTCCGAATCCATCCATCCCAAGGAGAAGCGAGCCCGTTTCCGAGCAGGGGATCCCTTCTGGAGGAAACAAAAGAGCCAGACTCCGCGGAGCCGGCACGGGAAGGAGCGGCAGGGGCGCAGGCGGAGGCAGGAGACTGCGCGGTCTGCGCGGGGAGGGGCTGCTGTTTGGTTCACGACTGTTCTGAAAGCTTGAATGCGCGCCGCAGAGTCTGGTCTTGAGTAAGTACCCAAACCAATCTCTGCAACACTTTCTAGCCACTGAGCAAGCAGCCTGGCAGCTGCCCCAGTGGCCTAATGGATAAGGCACTGGCCTCCTAAGCCAGGGATTGTGGGTTCGAGTCCCACCTGGGGTAATAGGAAGGACATACCCTTTAGGTGTGTCAGGAAGTTTTAGATTACAGGGTGGGAAAAACCCACCCACCGGAAAGGGAGGAAAAAACCTGGTGGAACTCAAAGAAAGGCTCTTATAAGATCTGTAAAGAAACAGCGGGAAGTTTCTCTTCTACCCAATCAGTAGGGAAAGAGGAATGTGCTCTAACATCCACACTTTGATAAAAATCTGTCTTAGAAGTACTGACGGCTACAAGGAAAACTGGCTAATGAACGTACTAAGAGTGTCTGCTGTAAAGCTCCACTGTGTAGGTGTGTGTGTGTGTTCCGAATTTTGTAAAAATGGTAACTCTCAAGCCACAGTTGTTTTAGCAGGAGTGCCCAAAACGGAGGTGGGTGTAAAAGGCTGTGAACACTCAGGGCCACGCAGGCAAGGGAAGAAAATAGAAACTAGCAAAATGCAAAGTATGAAGTTCAAAAGGTAAACAGAAAATGTGGAAAACAGATGTTGCACCTATGATACATGAATGTCAGAACTGAATGGGCGTTTGGAGAGAATCAAAGGTGACACCAGCCAATGATAACGTTGACTTGATCTGGGTTAAGATCGCGGACGGTGAGATCCCTGGGTGGCGCAGCGGTTTAGCGCCTGCCTTCGGCCCAGGGCATGATCCTGGGGTCCCAGAATCGAGTCCCACATTGGGCTCCTACATGGAGCCTGCTTCTCCCTCCTCCTGTGTCTCTGCCTCTCTCTTTGTGTCTCTCATGAATTAGAAAAAAAAAAAAAAGATTGTGGGTGATTTTCTGCCTGGAGTTCTGTTGTTTCAACATAGTTGCTTCTGGGACTTTTTAAAATTCCCTCAGGGCCTCATTATTCGAGTCTTGGTGTCAGTCCAGGATTTTGGTGTCCAGCAAATGCTGTTTTTGACAGGCGTGTAACTCGGCACTCTGGGTGACCCAAAGGTCCTGTGTCCTCAGAAATGCCATGTGAGGCTTGTGTTCTTGCTCAGGTGCATGGGGTCCAGAATCAAATCTCAGAGCAGCCACCTCCAGTGCTTTTTTGTTTTTTCTTTTTAGTTAAAAAATATCTTATTTATTTGTGAGAGAGAGAGAGAGAGAGAGAGAGAGAGAGAGAATGAGCAGGAGTAGGGGCAGAGGGAGAGGGAGAAGCAGACTCCCCGCTGAGCAGAGAGCTCTACATGAGGCTCCATCCCATACCCTGAGATCATCACCTGAGCAGAAGGCAGGCGCTTAACCAACTGAGCCATCCAGGTGCCCCCTTTTTTCCTTTTAATAAGAAATGGGGCAGCCCCGGTGGCTCAGCGGTTTAGTGTCGTCTTCAGCCCAGGGCGTGATCCTGGAGACTCAGGATCGAGTCCTACGTTGGGCTCCCTGCATGGAGCCTGCTTCTCCCTCTGCCTGTGCCTCTGCCTCTCTCTGTGTGTCTTTCATGATTAAATAAATAAAATAAAAAAAATAACAAAAGTGAGCAGCGCTGGTATCAAAACAGAGGAGAGAGGGCCAATCGCCCCTGATAAGACGCATAATGCATTTCATGCTCGGGTTAAATGTCAGTGTGGCCTGTTAAGTTGCAGGCATCAAGCTTGGTGAGGAAGAAAATAAAAATGAAAAGGAGCAACTTCCCTTGATCCAGAATCTGACTCCTTTTCTTCTTCTATCTTAAACAATCCATGTTGTTAATTGCTGTATTGCCAATAGGTGCTTATAGTAGGTGTTCAATAAACATTTGAATGACTGAATGACTCATAGGCCAGTGGTTTGGGGTATGCTGGGGCACCTTTGGGACCTACAACTTATGGGAAGACACAAGGTCCCAGCTAGGGAGGCTGCTGGGTGGGTTTTGTGATTGAGACCCTGCTCCAGGACCCTGACCACAAAGTCCCTGAGCCACTTGCTGACCAGGAGACCTGGATCAAATCCTCGGTGTGTGTGTTTCTCCTTCAGCCAACAGTTAGCGGTGCTCCAGCTCTATCCTGGTGGTCATGCCAACGGTGCATTTACACTCTTTTCTGACTAGAAGTGGCAGCTGTGTGCTGACACCTAGCTCAGTCAATAGACTGATTCTTAATCCCAGCGTTGTGAGTTCAAGTCCCAGAGTGGGCATAGGATTGCCTTTCTTCTTGTGCACTAGGCAGAAGAGAAGAATGAGAAAGCTGACATTCCTTAAATACATGCCCATTAGATGTCCTTGGGTGAAACTTCTTAAAAGTTAGCAAGACTCAGGGGCACCTGGGTGGCTCAGTGGTTGAGCATCTGCCTTTGGCTCAGGTCACGATCCTGGAGCCCTACAGGGAGCCTGCTTCTCCCTCTGCCTGTGTGTCTCTGCCTTTCTCTGTGTGTCTCTCATACATACATACATACATAAAATATTTTTTAAAAGTTAGCAAGACTCAGAAACATGATGTGCATAGGACTGTATCATTTTATTTTTTATTTGTTTATGACCAACACAGAGAGAGAGAGAGAGGCAGAGACACAGGCAGAGGGAGGAGGTGGCTCCATGCAGGGGGCCCGACGTGGGACTCAATCCCGGGTCTCCAGGACCACACCCTGGGCTGAAGGTGATGCTAAACCGCTGTGCCACCCGGGCTGCCCAGGACTGTATCATTTTAATTAGATGTAGTGTATTCTCAATCTTGGCACTTTTGACATCATAAACCAGATCATTTCCTGTTGTATGGGGCCATCCTGAACACAGCGGAATGTTTAACAGCACCCTTGGGCTTTATCTTCTAGATGCCAGTTTCTCCATAGTTGTGACAACTAAGAGTGTCTCCATATGTCCAGTGTCTCATGGTTGTGAGCTACTTGTCCAGAGAATCAAGCCCATAAATATTGTTGCAAATAGTTCTCATTTGAGATCTGACAGGAGAGCTAGCTTGGCACAGGTCCAAGTGGCAGAGCAGGGTGGCCTGCCATGGCCAACCTAGAAAGCAGCCTAGTGGTGTCAGGAAATGGGCTATGTACAGAGGGCTGAAAAAATAAGTTAATATATTGAGGCTAATGGGAACCAGTTTTCTCACTGGTGGAACTGGAAAAAAGGAAGGCTTCAGTAAGTCCTATGGTGTTGTATAGGATTGGGGGTATTAGTAATGGTATTTGATAACTTGGTAAAGGTGTGTCACTGGGGAAGATGGTTTATGGTAGTGACTTTATAAAAGCAATTTAAAAAATATTTTATTTATTTACTTGACAGAAAGAGAGAGAGAACACAAGCAGGGAAAGTTGCAAGCAGAGGGAGAGACAGAGAAGGCTCCCCACTGAGCATGGAACTGAATGCGGGGTTCGAACTCAGGACTCTTAGATCATGACCTGAGCTGAAAGCAGACACTTAACCAATTGAGTCACCCAGGTGCCCCTATAAAAGCAATTCTTATGTTTTATTTTACCCTTGAAATTAGAAGTATGGGACACCTAGGTGCCTTAGACAGTTAAGCATCTGCCTTTGGCTCAGGTCATGATCCTGGGGTCCTGGGACTGTCTTGCATGGGGTTCCTTGCTCAGCAGGGAGCCTGCTTCTCCCTCTGCCTGCCACTCCCCCTGCTTGTGCTCTCTCTCTCTCAACCTGACAAATAAATAATTAAAATCTTTAAAAAATGAAATTAGTAACCTATAAAGTGATATAATTTGATACTATATGAATGTCCTGTTCCCCAACAACTTACTACATACTGCTTTAACATTGTTTCATAATCATTGTCTCAATAATTTATTTCACTGGGAGTTAAAAATGAAGGTTTCCTAGTTCTATCATTTTTCTGTATTTCTTGACTGGCATTATTCTGTAAAAGAAAAGTTTTTCACAAAAAATGACCCCAAGGTGACCTTCAGACTGTTTTTAAAAAACAGGGTACATGCTAAATTCTTTCCCTTTATTTATATTCACCTTAGTTATGGCAAATAACCTTAATTTTTATACTATTATTACTGATTCACAGATTTTAATATATTTGATGTCTTGTAATCACTTATGGTTATTATTCTATTGATACTCAAATTGTTTCAAATTTGGCCAGTGGGAGAGCCTTTAAATTATCATGTATGGATTGGTGATCCATTTGAAGGTCATTTGTAGGTTAGAAATGTCCTCGTTGAACTTTGAGTATTTTCTTATTTACTGGCACACATATAATGTCCTAGACTCACCTTACTTTATTCTTGCCCAGACTTGGAATCAGCCCTGTCTCTATGGAATCCTATTTCTTTTTAATAGAAAATGGTGTTTAGAAACCAATATCTGAGTACTAGGGGTGTTCACTGATACTGGGTTGTCAATGATTGCAGATTTTGTTTCTTGTTTAGTTCACTTTAACTTTTATTTTTTAAAAAGATTTTATTTATTAGAAGGAGAAAGAGAGAGAGAGAGAGAGAGAGAGAGAGAGAGAGAGTAATCAGGGGGAGGGGTAAAGGGACAGGGAGAGAATCTCAGCAGACTACTTGCTGACCATAGGGCCTGAGGTTGGGCTTGGTCCCGCCACACTGAGATCATTACCTGAACTGAAATCAAGAATCTGAAACTTAACCAACTAGGCCATCCAGGTGCCCCAGTTCACCTTAACTTTAAAAACAGCTTACTGGGGGTCCCTTGGTTGCTCAGCGGTTTAGTGCCTGCCTTCGGCCCAGGGCATGATCCTGGGGTCAAGGATCGAGTCCCACATCAGGCTCCCTGCACGGAGCCTGCTTCTCCCTCTGCCTGTGTGTCTGCCTCTCTCTCTCTGTGTCTCTCATGATTAAATAAATAAAATCTTAAAAAAAATAAAACAGCTTACTAATTTATCCTTTTTTCTTAAGTGTTCCTTCTCCAGGGATCCCTGGGTGGCGCAGCGGTTTGGCGCCTGCCTTTGGCCCAGGGCGCGATCCTGGAGACCCGGGATCGAATCCCACGTCGGGCTCCCGATGCATGGAGCCTGTTTCTCCCTCTGCCTGTGTCTCTGCCTCTCGTTCTCTCTCTGTGACTATCATAAATAAAAAAAAAAAGTGTTCCTTCTCCAATCCTTTGTTTAACTCAGCTGATGGAGCAACTAGTGGATCATAGTAACTAGATTTTTTTGTTCAAGGACATTCCTTCCCATTTCCATTCTTTGGATCTGTTTGGGGAAACTCCTCCTCTCCTCCATTCAGTCCTGATGATAATGTACATCACTGGATTATCACATGGAATGCATTGGGTGTATGATCTAGGATGACCAGAACACCCCACTCTCCCATACAAAGTGGTTGGTTCAGATTTGGGTGTGGATCCAAGAAGGAATGATCACAGCCTTGGCTGGAGTTAATAAATAAACACTGGGGCAGCCGCAGTGGTGCAGTGGTTTAGTGCCACCTGCAGCCTGGGGTGTGATCCTGGAGACCAGGGATCGAGTCCCACATCGGGCTTCCTGCATGGGGCCTGCTTCTCTCTGCCTGTGTCTCTGCCTCTCTCGCTCTCTCTGATTGAATAAATAAATAAATATTTAAAATAAATAAAAAAACAAACAAACAAACACTGTTAGGGGCACCTGGCTGGCTCAGGCGATAAAGCATGGCCAGGGATTGCTAGTCCGGGAGGATGTGAGTTTGGAGGTGCTGGTGGCCACCCTGTCTGCCACATGGAGAGAAATAGTCTGTAGAATGAAGTCAAACAGAAACAAATAAAATAGAGAGATGAGAAATACAGGTCCTGGCACCATTATTTGGGCCCTTGCATGTAGCCCTGCCCGAAACTTACAAGAACTTTGGACTTTGCAATTACATCCAGCAATAGATTCTACTTCTCCTAAGCTGTTAGGAGTTGGTTTTTCATCACTTGCAAACAATTTTTTTAGTAATTCGGGAACTACTTTCCCCCTCATCCACAGGTCCTTGATAATGAACTTTGTGAAGTGTTCTTGGCCTGTTTTGGGGATAGAATGTGCAGAACTTGATATCTGATATGAGTCTGATGGAGGTATGAGGACTCATTATAGCCCTGAGGATCTTATCTTGAGTTACTAGGAGCAGATGAATATTTATTGAGATTTCATAATCAGAATGCAGAATACATTGTTCAGGGCAGCCGGGGTGACTCAGCAGTTTAGCGCGGTCTTCATCCCAGGGCTATGGGAGACCTGGGATCGAGTCCTGGAGACCTGGGATCGAGTCCCACGTCCCACGTCGGGCTCCCTGCATGGAGCCTGCTTCTCCCTCTGCCTGTGTCTCTGCCTCTCTCTCTCTCCTCTCTGTGTATCTCACGAATAAATTAACAAAATCTTTAAATAAATACATTAGGGATCCCTGGGTGGCGCAGTGGTTTGGCGCCTGCTTTTGGCCCAGGGCGCGATCCTGGAGACCTGGGATCGAATCCCACGTCGGGCTCCCGGTGCATGGAGCCTGCTTCTCCCTCTGCCTGTGTCTCTGCCTCTCTCTCTCACTGTGTGCCTATCATAAATAAATAAAAATTAAAAAAAAATAAGTAAAATAAATAAATACATTATTCATAAATAACTCAAAGTGAAAGATCGGTTAGAGTAACACTCTGATTTCCAGAGACTTTTTTTAAAATTTTTATTTATTTATGATAGTCACACACACAGAGAGAGAGAGAGAGAGAGGCAGAGACATAGGCAGAGGGAGAAGCAGGCTCCATGCACCGGGAGCCCGACGTGGGATTCGATCCCAGGTCTCCAGGATCGCGCCCTGGGCCAAAAGCAGGCGCTAAACTGCTGCGCCACCCAGGGATCCCTCCAGAAGACATTTTTAAATTTTTTTTTAAAGATTTTATTTATTTATTCATGAGAGACACACAGAGAGAGAGGCAGAGACAAGGCAGAAGGAGAAGCAGGCTCTCTATGGGGGAACCCGATGCGGGACCCGGTCAGGACCTCGGGATTATGCCCTGGGCAGAAGGCAGACACTCAACCGTTGAGCCACCCAGCGATCCCCAGAAGACATTAAAAAAAATTTTTTTTTAATTACTTAGAGAGAGAGAGAGAGATACAGACAGAGACAGAGAGATACAGAGAGTTCACATGAGCAGGGGGAGGAGCAGAGGGAAAGGGAGAGGCAGATTCTCTGCTGAGCAGGAAGTCCAATGCCTGATGTAGGGCTCAATCCTGGAACTCCAGAATCGTGACCTGAGCTGAAGACAGACGCTTAACTGACAACCACCCAGGCGCCCTCAGAAGACATTTTTTTTTTAGTGATTCAGATGCCATTTCTGGCCCAGGTGTATGGTTTTTATGAGTAACCCTTTCATACTATCAACTCAGGAAAGTAAAACTTTACAGTGCATAAGATCAAAAGATTCATGGGCACCTTAAAGCCAGATCTTGTCTTCAGTACTATGGAGTGGTAACTATTGGACTTAGAAATTCTATGTTCAAAAAAAAAAAAAAAAAGAAATTCTATGTTCCTCATTGGCATCCATGTTATACTAATTTATAAATGGACTCAACAATAGTTCCTATTCTACTTCATTTACCCCCAAATTAAAATATAGAATAAAAAACTTATCAACTTATGAAATGAAAATGAAAATGACTATTGCCCTATGAACACAAGATAGTATTTCCAAATGATTTTTATCTAGAACATAGATAATTGAGTAGAGAGTGAAGGATGTGAATCCCTTCAGCCTTCGTGTAGTGGACATGGTCTCTAAGCCCAGTGCATTGATGAGAGTAGGGGTCATGAGATGATTTATATAAATTACCTAACTTAATCTGCACAACTGTACAAAATGAATATTATTCTGTGAAGGTTGATAGATTTCTCGAGGTTGTACAACTGGTAATAATGGATCTGAGAATTAAGTGTACATCTGTGTGAATCCAAAGTTTATTCTTTTAATTCCTATAGAGCATCATATATATTTCCTAACAAGGACACCATTCCAGCTTGGGTGGGGATAAAATATAGGATTGTGAGTTTTCTCTAGTAGAAAAAATGATTTCCCCTAAAAGATTGCATCATTTGCAATATTGCCAAGCCCTAAAGCTGCAATAATGTAACTTAGATAACAGGTCTTTATCATCAGTGTTGGATCCAAAACAGCCCAAGGAGAAGGGACAATTAATTACTTGCTGTTTGTCTCTAATGAGGCTCTTAGGGACTATGGCCCTAGTGGCCATGGAGACTCTTGTAAAGAGCTGGCTCTCTGATTCCCTCAAACCTCCTTCCTGTACCAAGGCTTGAGTCTGTGTACTCCCACCCTTGTTCAAGCAGATTTATCATGAAAACCTGAAAGACAAGTCCCTTTTGCTCAAATCAACAATCTCTGGCCAGGTCTGGAAAAGTGAAGCAAACTTTGGATTTCTGGTGACTGTAATGAATGTCGTTCTTTCCAGGTAAGAGTCAGATCAGTGAGACTATCAATAGCTGATTGTTAAGATAAACCTTTGTGGAGGGTACTCCTCACTACATCTTTTTTTAAAATGGAACCAAAGAAACAGTTCTGAGATCATCAACCGTCCTTGCAATGACCAGTCATGACCATATATGTCCTGTATGTTTATGAGACCTGAATGAGACCTGAGCTGTGGGGAAAACTAGTTGGCCAAGTTCATGCCCATAATTCTGTGTCATTTCCATTTCCATTTTACAAGTTAGATGGAGGGAGCTCAGTGGACACAACCAAGAAGGGCTGGCTCAGAGCTCTGTAAAGTGCACATTATCATACTGACTGATCACTGATATCATCCTCAGAGCAAATATGTTAGGAATGTGTAATGTGTCCAGATTAGAGACACTGGAAATCAAAAATGTCCTGTAAGGCAACACCACTAATTATAACCATGACATCAATATCCTTTATTAGGATGTGTGCTTACTATATGTCAGTCTCTTTGGTAACCACTTACATGTGTTCTCCAGTGCTCGTTATAAATATTAACCTCTCTATTAATATTCTTATGTCTATCGTGATTTATGACACTATTCTAAAAAAATATTTTATTTATTTGAGAGGGAGAACAAGTAGGGAGGAGAGGGAGAAGCAGGCTTCCTGGGATCAGGGAGCCCAATGTAGGGCTTGATCCCAGGACCCCAGGATTACACTGAGGCAAAAGCAGATGCTTAACCAACTGAGCCACCCAGGTGCCCCAAATTATGACACTATTTAAAGATATAAGGTCATGATAGAAAGTTTAAACATACAAAGAATTTATGGATAAAACCATTGTCACAATCTTTCAATGTCCTTCCAGAGGCATGGCTTTCATTTTCTTGATGGAAGAATGAATGATGGCACAGAAAAGGCCATCACTGGCCAAAGCACACGGGGAGCAAGGTTCTAGTGCCTCACCTATGTCACACAGCCTATCTCCTTCCAGTCTTCTTAGTTGCTCTGCTTTAACCATCGTTTTCCAGGCTTTTGGATTGTCCCTGCTTTGTCTGCCTCTTGGCTCAGGCTTCCAGCCCCATGAGAGGGGCAAACCAGTCAAGTGTCTCCGAGTTCCTCCTCCTCGGGCTCTCCAGGCAGCCCCAGCAGCAGCAACTTCTCTTTGTGCTCTTCCTGAGCATGTACCTGGCCACCATCCTGGGAAACCTGCTCATCCTCCTGGCCATCAGCGTGGACTCCCGCCTGCACATCCCCATGTACTTCTTCCTCAGCAACCTGTCCTTTGTGGACATCTGCTTCTCCTCCACCACTGTCCCCAAGATGCTGACCAACCACCTACTTGGCACTCAGACCATCTCCTTCTCTGGCTGTCTCACACAGATGTACTTTGTATTCATGTTCGTGGACATGGACAATTTCCTCCTGGCTGTGATGGCCTATGACCGCTTTGTAGCCATATGCCACCCCTTACACTACTCAACAAAGATGACCCACCAGCTCTGTGCCCTGCTGGTTGCTGGGTCATGGGTCATTGCCAACCTGAATGTCCTACTGCATACCCTGCTGATGGCTCAACTCTCATTTTGTGGGTACAATGCCATCCCCCACTTCTTCTGTGATGTGACGCCTCTCCTGAAACTCTCCTGCTCTGACACACACCTCAATGAGGTGATGATTCTGACCGAGGGCTCTCTGATCATGATCACTCCCTTTATTTGCATCCTGGCCTCATATATCCACATTACCTGTGCTATCCTGAGAGTCCCATCCACAAAGGGAAGATGGAAAGCCTTCTCCACCTGTGGCTCCCACCTGGCTGTGGTTTCTCTCTTCTATGGCACCATCATTGCTGTGTATTTCAACCCTTTGTCTTCACACTCTTCTGAGAAGGACACCACAGCTACTGTGATGTACACAGTGGTGACTCCCATGCTGAACCCCTTCATCTACAGCCTGAGGAACAGGGACTTGAAAGGGGCTCTACAAAAAATGATGAGGAGAAAGTCATGCTCTTAGTGATGCAAGTATAACAGACCTATTATTTTCAGGCATATTAATCTTCACCAACTCGCTGAAATGTAGCAATCAAGGGGTCTGCAAAGAACTGAGAATAAATACTGTCAATAGACAATTATGAATGAACTTAGACTTAAGTACAACCCCACTCCTTTAAATAGGTAATCTTATTTGTTTCTAATTACTGTATTTAAACCTACTTTGCATAAAGGTCAAGTTTTTCCTTTCTAAGTGATCACTCTGAAAATTTACATGTAACAATTTTTTTTCACTTCCTTTTTGGAAATACTCTGATTCTAAGGCAGTGTTTTTCAATCTTGGATACATGACAGTATCACCTGGGGAGGTTTGACAACATATAGGTGGATGCTGGCCAATTAAATTTTGACCAGTTAAACTAGAATTTCTGGAATGGGATGCAGGCATTGGCATTTTTTCCTCTTTAAGGTCCCTGGGGCTTCTAAGGTAATTTCTGAATTGACATGCTGCTTTGGATGTACTTTATGATTGCTCATTATGAAGAGTGAGCCTAGAAACCCTAAGATTTGATGTCTAATGGAGGTAAACAATAGAGGTGAAAAAGTCACTGAATTTCTCTGTGGGCTCAAGTGTCCCTCTGCTGACAGGGCAGGTCCTTTGGCTGAATTCACAATCCTAAGCCTCATATGAAATCCAAAGAACACCTCTTAATTTTTAGTGCTCTTATTTGTCCACTTGGGCTGCTCTAACAAAAATACCATACACTGGGTAGCTTAAACAACAAATATTTATTTCTCACAGTTCTGGAGGCTGGCAGTGCCAGATCAAGGTGCCAGCAGATTCAGTGTCTGATGAGAGCCTTCTTACTGGTTCTTCTTTCTGTGTCCTCAAGTGGTGAAAGGAGGGAGCTCTCTGGGGTCTCTTTTATGAGGGCACTATTTCCTTCATGAGGGCTCTCCCACTCATGATGTAGTCACCTCCCAAAGATCCCACCTCCAAATACTATACATCGCGGGTTATGTTTCAACCTATTAATTTTTTTGGAAGGGCACACAAACAATCTGTGGCAGTTTTTCATCATTCAATTTGATTGCCTTGCTTTATGGGGGTATATTTAGCATAAGGCATTTCCTTGATTTTGGAGAAACAGTTTAACATTTGCTATTTCATCTGTTCAGAATGCCTTGTCCTTCTCCCTGAGGGAAACCTTTTCTGAACCTTCAAGATCCAAGGCAATATTTCCCCTATGAAGCCTTTGATGATTTCTCTATGCTGAGATTCTCATTCCCTCTCCCGAGTTCCCACAGAGAACTCTTCTTTGAGTTATATATGTGATACTGTGTAGTCCGGTTATTGTTGCTTCCTCTTCTCTTTCTTCTTTGCCCTTAGGCATTCTAAAGATTGTTAGATGTTCAAGGATTACACACATAAACTATTCACCTTGGGCGCCCATAAAAAGTTTGGCTCCTGATACATATTACACATGCAAACCATTAATACTGAACAGGGGATGGGATCCCTGGGTGGTGCAGCGGTTTAGCGCCTGCCTTTGGCTCAGGGCGCGATCCTGGAGACCTGGGGTCGAATCCCACGTCGGGCTCCCAGTGCATGGAGCCTGCTTCTCCCTCTGCCTATATCTCTGTCTCTCTGTGTGACTATCATAAATAAATAAAAAATTTTAAAAAATACTGAATAGGGGAACAAAAAGCATGTGCTTCTGGAGACCCCAACCTGAGAGATATTTTAACTTTTTTAAAAAATATTTTATTTATTCATTCATTCAAGAGAGAATGAAAGAGCTCACAAGAGGACAAGCAGGGAGAGTGGCAGAGGGAGAGGGAAAAGCAGACTCCCCGTTGAGCAGGGAGCCCAAAGGGGGCTTAATCCCAGAACCCTCAGACCCTGGACCACGACCTGAGCAGAAGGCACTCAACCAACTGAGCCACCCAGGTGCCCTCTGAGAGTTCTTTTTAATAGTAACAACAATAGAAAGAAAACAACGGAATATAACAGGGGTACCTGGGTAGGGCACCCGGCGTTGGGCTTTGCTTAGTATAAGTAAACTCATCAGTAATGTTTTCAGAATCTTCTTTACTTACCTCTGTTTCAACTGAAAGAATTGCCGTATTTGATAATTTCTCTTGATAAGTGAATAATATTAACTTCCAGCTTACCTTGTCTTTAAAATTCTTATATTTTGGTATAAGATTTTTTAAAAAAAGATTTTACTTATTTATTCATGAGAGATACAGAAACATAGGCAGAGGGAGAAGCAGGGTCCACGCAGGGAGCCCGACGTGGGACTCCATCCCAGGACTCCGGGATCACGCCCTGAGCCAAAGGCAGATGCTCAACCGCTGAGCCACCCAGGCGTCCTTGGTATATGATTTTTTGCATTAATTCTCACTTTAAAAAACACTGCGCTAAAATATTCTTTACTTTGATTTCTAAGCATTTGGGGTCCCTTTACATTTCGCACTCCCACCTCCCAGCGCGTGGGTGTCGGGGTCTCCGCCAGGGGACCTCCCCAGGCTAGGCGGCCCCACACAGGCGCAGCGCGGAAAAGGCGGGTCAGGCGGTATCACTTCCGGGAAGCGCTGTACCCGCCCTCAAACGGAACCAATCAGAGACTGCGTCGCCCCCCCCTCCGTACTCTGGCCCAATTAGGTATGGGGCGGGGCCTCCGCTGGGCGCCGGCTCCGCGAGGAGGTGCGGCTTAGGTTTTCAGAGCGCGGCGGGCTGCGAACTCTCTCGTGGGTTGGGCTTTCTGCGTTGGCGTAAGTGGCTCTGAATCTTTTCCCCCCGAAACGGCGTAAAGTCGGGCTCTGGGGTAGGTGCCCGGAAAACCTGGGCAACGGGCGGGTCCCAGAGCCCGGCACTGCACCTGCCTCGGTCCCTAGGGCTCCGCCCCACCGTCCTCCCCAGTTAGGATGGGGCACAGGGGTTCAGGATGCCTATCTCCTGCTTCCACAGGCTGAGACCGTTGGAGGTTAAGGCCTGACTTCCAGTTCGCATATCCTTTCCAAAGGCGAGTTTGAGGAGCCAGCAGCGGAAAAACGGGCGTCTCTTTACTCGGAGGACCAGGCATAGCCTGGGTGCTAATTAGAAATGCATAACCTCGGGCCGCATCTCAGACTTTCCGAATCCGAACCTTCGCTTTAACCGCACGCCCAGGTGATTTCCGTATGTATCACTTGTCACTTAACCAAGATGATATCATGAAAGTGGTGTGATACAGGTAGAAACCTTTGAGAGCATAGGTACCTGGGAGTGAGCGGAAGCGCTCAGAAGAGGAAAGTAATATACACAAAGAGACACTAATCAACGTGAGGTTTAAAGACTGGAGGTTGTACATTAGGGGTGAATGCATCTATGCCATCTGCATCCCACAAACATCATTTCCAGGCAAGGAACTGACTTTATTTTTTTATTTTTATTTTTTTATTTTTATTATTTTTTTTTAGGAACTGACTTTATAATGTGAGTCGCCTGGACGACTCAGTCAGTTAAGCATCTGACTGTTGATTCCGCTCGGGTCACGATCTCAGTCAGGGTCCGGGGGTGGAGCGCCAGTTTGGGGTCCCTGTTCAGTAGAGACTTGGCTTAGATTCTCTCGGTCTCTCACCCTCTGCCCCTCCCCCTCCTCTTGTGCTCACGTGCTCGTTCGCTTTCGCTGTCTCTCAAATAAATAAATCCCTAATAGAAGGAATGTGATAACTAGTTGCCGAGATGGCTCCCAGTGATCCTGGTATTGTGTAATCCTTTCCCACATTGACTTGGGCTGATTTTGTCTTAATCCATTCAGGCTGCTGTAACAAAATACCATAGACTGTGTAGTTATAAGCAAGAGAAATGTATTTTTTTCACCATTCTGGAGGCTGGAAAATCCAGGATCAAGATGTTGGCACATTTGGTGTCTGGTGAGAGCCTATTTTCTGGTTCATAGATGGCGATCTTTTCAGTGTAATCTCACATAGTGGAAAGGACAAGGGAGCTTCCTCAGGCCTTCTGTTGTAAGTGCACTAATACCCTTAGTGAGAGTTTTGCCCTCATGACCGGATCGCCTTCCCGAGGCCCTGCCTCCTACTGTCCACCTTGGGCATTAGAGTTTCAACATGAATTTTGTGTGAACATAACCATTCTGTCCATGTAACTGTGTAAACAGATTGTTGTGGAACTGTGGAAATGTTGTGCGGAACATGTAAAAATGTTGTGTGACTGTAGGAACTCCATCATAAAAGATATTGCACCTTCCACCTTGCTTTCTTGAATCACTTGCTCTGGGAAACTAGTTAGCTCTATGGAGAAGTTGATGTGAGGAATTGAGGCTTTCTTGCCACAAGTAGTGTGAGGGTACCATCTTGGAAGCCCATCCTCCAGCCACAGTCAAGCATTCAGATGACTGAGTCTCTGTGACAACTTATCTGCAGTCTCATGACAAGTCCTGACTAGAAACATTCATCTAAACCATTACCAGGGGATGCCTGGGTGGCTGAGCAGTTGAGCGTCAGCCTTTGGCTCAGGGTGTGATCCCAGAGTCCCAGGATCGAGTCCCATATGGGGCTCACTGCATGGAGCCTGCTTCTCCTTCTTCCTATATTTCTGCCTCTCTCTGTGTGTGTCTCTCATGAATAAATAAAATCTTTAAAAAAAATACTCAGTTTGGGCATGAGTTGAGGTTACCCTGTGAGGTTAGGGTGCTGTTTTACAGGATGCAATGTCAATTTCAGGGGCACCTGGGTGGCTCAGTTGGTTAAGTGTTTGCCTTGGGCTTGGGTCATGATCCCAGGGTCCTGGGATCGAGCCCCATATCTGGCTCCTTACTCAGGGTAGCCTGCTTCCCCCTTTCCCTTTGCCTATCTCCCTGCTTGTGCCCCCCCATCAAATAGATACATTAAATCTATTTTAAAAAAACAACATAAGTTTCATACCAGTGGACAGTATCTGCTGAACTTTCTACCAACCAGGAATTAAAAAAATATTTTATTTATTTACTCATGAGCGACACAGAGAGAGAGAGAGAGAGGCAGAGACATGGGCAGAGTGAGAAGCAGCTCCCAGCAAGGAGCCCGATGAGAGACTTGATCCCAGAAGCCCGGGTTCATGCCCTGAGCTGAAGGCAGACGCTCAACCAGAGCCACCCAGGCGTCCCTATGGGGCAAGGAAACGAGAGGTAGGAGTGGGCATTACTTTTTATAATACCTAATAATCTACTTACAAAATTTTACTTCGTATCCCAATGATACTGGGCTCTGCAGAGGAGACTTGCTGGTCAATTTGGGTTCAATTTGGTGCTGGATAAACCGACCAAAAAAGAGATTCTAATATTGTTATGACTTTGAATATGACTAAAAAATAGTTTTGCTGTTACACACTAGTAGCAGAGAGGATTATGGATGGAAAGATCTCCTGGAATGGATTCTGGAATGACCACATCCTCTGATGGCAGCTAATGAAAGACTACAATAATATTATATGGCAAGGTTGTAAGGAGGTCAGATCTCTCCGACATGAAATTTTGGGTTAACTATATCAGATTTAAAAAAAACTTGAACATGGAGCACCTGGGTGGCTTAGTGGTTGAGCTGAGTCTGCCTTCAGCTCAGGGTGTGGTCCTGGAGTCCCGGGATTGAGTCCCACATCGGGCTCCCCTCGGGGAGCCTGCTTCTCCCTCTGCCTGTATCTCTGCCTCTCTCTGTCTCTCATGAATGAATAAATAAATAAAATCTTTCAAAAATAAAAAATAAAAAACTTGAACAGCCGAGATGCTGGCTAAAGACAATGGGAACATGGATTAGATTGTGGATAAGGAAAATTATTAATAACAACTAAGGGTTCATGGCTACCTGTGGATATGAAGACTACAATATGCAGTCATAGTTTCCTCTTTGCTTTGTTACATGTATATTTCTGTATTTTTGCACTCTAGCTTTCTTCTTCTTTTCTCTACTTTGTCCCTCTGTTTTACATACACATAGGATATGTAGTTATTGGTTATCTTTCAAGTTTCATTCAGAAGTAATAGAATGTCATGATGGGAACATGATTAGAGTAACTGAGATCCTTGTTATGGACCTGGATAGAGTAACTGATGGGCTTGAGTTGTTCCCATATTGTGAGAAGTATAGTTGAATTATATTAGGCTAGATAGTGTGTCTTCTACTGAAGCATAAATTAGTAAGAGGGGTATGTGTTAATGTTGTGTGTAACTGGAGAGGTGGATTCTAGTGGGCATTTTTTTTAAGATTTTGTTTATTAATGAGACACACACACACACACACACACACACACACACACACACACACAGGCAGAGACACAGGCAGAGAAGCAGGCTCCATGGAGAGAGCCTGATGTGGGACTCGATCCCCGGTCTCCAGGATCAGGCCCTGGGCTGAAGGCGGCACTAAACCGCTGAGCCACCCAGGCTGCCCCTAGTGGGCATTTATGATGCCTTTTGGCTTCCCAACTTCTGTACCCCTTCTAAGGCTTAGGTAATTTCCTATCTAATTTTCATTGAGAAAAAAAGCCAACTTCTTCCTCCCTAACAGGAAACCCAGAAGAATTTATTTCCCAGCCCCTCTTGCAGCTAAGACATGGGCATACGACTACCCATCAGACACCTGAATCCACTTCAGAGGGGGAGACCAGGAGGACCTTTTCTAGCAATGATAGCCATTGCAGCAAGATGAACTACCAAGTGCTGCTGATGGCATCCTATGTCCAGCAATAGCTGTGTTAGGCCATGAACTATGACATTGAGGCTTGATGGCAGCAGAAATAGTGATATGCTTATCAAACCAGTTCTGTGATGTGATTTGGGCCATTACCATTGGTGTGTGACCTTCTTAGCATGGTTCTCCACTTGCTCAGTGGTTTTGAAGGGTATCCATCATCATTTTCAAGAAATACTTTTCTGCTTAACTCAGTAAGACTTGATTTTTGTTATTTGCAATTAAGAATTGTTAGTAAGACCACGATATAGCCAATCATCAGAAAAGTACATGAACCATGAACTGAACACCCATTAGTACTCTGTCCAACTCATTTCTACTTCTCTATGTTTGAATTTTTTGCTCTTCTCTTTAGGCTTTGTTTCTCCATCAATGAGGCAGTCAGGAGAGAGTTGCAAGCTTCTGGATTAACATATTCAGGCCAAGTCCCCCCTCCCCCAGCTACTTCTAGAAGAAAGAAAGAGGGAGGGAGGGATGGAAAGAAAAAAGAAAGGAAAAACTTGAGAATCACCCACTTGTCTTTAGCCTCAGTTCCAGGTTCCCTAATCCGACCATGACTCCTCCCTAGGCAGGAGGTGTTGGAGTATAAATCGGGCTCCGGAATTCCATACCCCTATGACTGTGAATTAGAGGACCATTCTCACAAAACAGTGATCCATTGTGAGCCAGGAAGATACCGCAAAAGAATCTACTCTAGGAACCTGCAGTTTCTCTCTCTTTTTTTTTTAAGATTTTATTTATTTATTCATGAGACACACACAGAGAAAGAGAGAGAGAAAGAGAGGGGGGCAGAGAGAGAAGCAGGCTCCATGCAGGCAGCCTGACACGGGACTTGATCCTGGGGACTCCAGGATCACGCCCTGGGCCGAAGGCAGGTACTAATCTGCTGAGCCATCCAAAACAGTTTCTCAATCATGGCATGCTATGCTCTCCTTGATAGATATCTTCCCTACTGCCACCTTCCAATTACAGGCAGATTATCCTTTACACCATTTTTTTTTAAAGATTTTATTTATTTATTCACGAGAGACACAGAGAGAGGCAGAGACACAGGCAGAGGGAGAAGCAGCCTCCCTGGAGGGAGCCGGATGCGGGACTCCATCCTGAGACTATCCTGGACTCTAGGATCTCACCCTGAGCGAAAGGCAGATGTCCAACTGCTGAGCCACCCAGGTGTCCATACACCAAATGTTTTTAAGGATTTAGTGCAAGTGTGTAATGCCACCCCCCACCCTGCATCCCTATCTGTAAATGCATCACTAACTGTATAGAGTAAGTGACCAGATAAGAAAGAAAAAAAGAACAGGACTCCTGGGTAGCTCAGTGGCTGAGCATCTGCCTTTGACTCAGGTCCTGATCCCAGGGTCCTGGGACAGAGTCCTGCATCGGGCTCCCCACAGAGAGCCTGCTTCTCCCTCTGCCTGTGTCTCTGCCTCTCTCTCTGTGTCTCTCATAAATAAATAAAATCTAAAAAAAGAAAGAAAAAGGGAATTCATTAAGGTAACACTGCAATAATTTGTTTCTGAGGTAAGAAAATAAGACAAATCTTTTAACAATTGAATTTTCAAATCTATAAATATAAGCCCAGATCAGCAAAGTGATGCAATTTGAGATCTCAGTGAATTTTCTCTGTGTCTCATCTCTACCCAGATTGCTTTATCTGAACTAGGGGTTAGATACTTATACTTTGTCATTATTGTTCGGTCCACAGGGGCCAAGAAATAGGTGGGACAGTTACTTTCTGCTTGTCTCTAACGAGGCTCTCAGGGAATCTGGTCCCAGTGGCCATGGAAGCCACTGTAAATACCTGTATCTAATTTCCCCAAACATCCTTCTCCACAGAAGGGCTCAGGCCATGAACTTCTGCTTCTCACTCATTGAGGATCTACCAATATCTCTAATAGTCTCCAGACTTTACAGTAAAGAAAAGCATTGGTTGGTTCCCCAAAGGTGAAGAGCCCTTGATATCAACAATACCAATTTCTTCCAGGTAAGATTGGAACAGATTAATATAAATATATTTATAATATATATTATATATAAATATAATATATATTATATATATTAATGGGGTAAATTATTTATATATATATATATATATATAGTTATTAATAGGGGAAGTTCTTTGAAGAACCTCCTTTGTTACATCTTCCAGATCCAGGGAATGATAGAGTCCTGAACCCATCAGCTGGAGCTTGAGATACACTCAGTAATAACTGTTTTACTTGTCCCGGTGAGCCGTTTGTTTTTGTATTTTGTTTGTTTTTGTATTTGATAAAATTTTCAAGATTAGTCCAGTGGGACCAGTGTCATGTCAGACTAGGAGTTTGACGTTGAGGTTATAGAGACTAGGGGTGGATCCTGACAGAGAAATTCTACTATGGGTTTTATTAACATGACTACATAGCTAGAGTTTGGATTGTTGTACCCAAAGTCATAGCTTCTAGGTTTCTGAGCTCTGCTTCTGTTCTGCATCTGTGTCCAGTCCATGAGAGGGGCAAACCAGTCAAGTGTCTCCGAGTTCCTCCTCCTCGGGCTCTCCAGGCAGCCCCAGCAGCAGCAACTTCTCTTTGTGCTCTTCCTGAGCATGTACCTGGCCACCATCCTGGGAAACCTGCTCATCCTCCTGGCCATCAGCGTGGACTCCCGCCTGCACATCCCCATGTGCTTCTTCCTCAGCAACCTGTCCTTTGTGGACATCTGCTTCTCCTCCACCACTGTTCCCAAGATGCTGACCAACCACTTACTTGGCACTCAGACCATCTCCTTCTCTGGCTGTCTCACACAGATGTACTTTGTATTCATGTTCGTGGACATGGACCATTTCCTCCTGGCTGTGATGGCCTATGACCACTTTGTAGCCATATGCCACCCCTTAACACTACTCAACAAAGATGACCCACCAGCTCTGTGCCTTGCTGGTTGCTGGGTCGTGGGTCATTGCCAACCTGGATGTCCTACTGCATACCCTGCTGATGGCTCAACTCTCATTCTGTAGAGACAATGCCATCCCCCACTTCTTCTGTGATGCGATGCCCCTCCTGAAACTCTCCTGCTGACACACACCTCCTGCTGAGGTGATGATTCTTTTTGAAGCAGGGTTGATCATGATCACTCCCTTTATTTGCATCCTGGCTTCATATATCCGCAATACCTGTGCTATCCTGAGAGTCCCATCCACAAAGGGAAGATGGAAAGCCTTCTCCACCTGTGGCTCCCACCTGGCTGTGGTTTCTCTCTTCTATGGTACCATCATTGCTGTGTATTTCAATCCTTTATCCTCCCACTTAGCTGAGACAGATATAGCAGCTGCTGTAATGTTCAGTGTGGTGACTCCCATGCTGAACCCCTTCATCTACAGCCTGAGAAACAAGGACATAAAAGGGGCTCTTGGAAAAGTGCTTGCTATGAAATTTTTTCTACTTGGTAATGAAATGGGCTAAGAAAATCTTGGAGGGAACTAATTAGATCATGTATTTTTTTTTCTATTGTGCAAAACTTAGTTATTGTCATTGGTAAGAGAATAATTCTATTATGAGAATTATTATCATTATGGGAATTGGGAGGTCAAACTTGATCTATTTGCTTTGGGATAAAGATGGAAAGAGAGATCCTATACCAAATAACCTGTTACAATTGTCAGTGACCTCCAGCCCAAACCCACAATGAACATACATCTTGTTGAATAATTCTGGTTTATTAGGCTCACCAAGGAGAATACATACCATGGGCAATAGTGAGGCATGTTAGCATGTTAGTAGGAAGGGACTAAAAAAAAAAAAAAAAAAGGGAAGGGACTAGACAGGACTTACTAAAAGACTTAAGTTTGCGTGAGGTGAATTTAGTGAGGATATAAGGAATTGAGTCTGTGCTCTGGATTACATACTATCACGTAGTGGTGACGATTCTGATTGAGTATTCTGAAAATATTTTATCTAGGAGGGGCTTCTGGGTGGCTGATTAAGTTAAGCATCTGATTCTTGATTTCTGCTCAGTTCCTGATCTCAGGATGGTGAGATCAAGCCCTGTGTCGGGCTCTGCACTCCATAGGGGGTCTCCTTGAGACTCTCATTTCTCTCTCCCTCTGTACCTTCCCCCTCACCTTGCCGCGCTGCTTACACACACACACTCTCTCTCTCAAAAAAATTTAAAAAATACTTTAGGAGGGAAGAGTAGATTAAGGCCAAAGCTTTGATTAGTGAAGAAGTACCAGTGACTCATATCAGACAGTGTAGGGGAAGGAGTTTGGTCATCTCTGTGGCTTGGACAGTGTTCATATTTTTGTGTTCAGACATAATTATAGTCTCTTTTTGCCCCGATCCTTAACAGTCACAGAGTAGCCTTGTGTGGTACTGATATTCTGCGTGTTCATCAGGAGAGCACCAACCTGGCTGTGGTTAGGGCTGTGAATTCACCTAGCTGTGAATACCAGGAAACTCCTGGGTGTCAGGGCTGATTTCTCTTTCTCACGACAGAGACACAGAGATAGGATCACATCTTACTGGAGGGCCAGAGTGGTGTTGGGGCTGGAAAGAGAAGTGTTCTTTTTTTTTTTTTTTTTTTTTTTTTAAAGGAATCTTTTTTTTTTTTTTTTTTTTTTTTTTTTTTTTTTTTAATTTACGATAGTCATACAGAGAGAGAGAGAGAGGCAGAGACACAGGCAGAGTGAGAAGCAGGCTCCATGCACCGGGAGCCCGACGTGGGATTCGATCCCGGGTCTCCAGGATCGCGCCCTGGGTCAAAGGCAGGCGCCAAACCGCTGCGCCACCCAGGGATCCCGAGAAGTGTTCTTTTAGGGCTCCCAAGAACCCTCAATTTTGCCATGCATTAAAGCTAATTATTTTTTATCTTACCTGAGCTTTCTGTGTCACATAGCATTAAAACAGGAATATGGGTAAGTTAAATAAGAAATATCTTCCAGGGATCCCTGGGTGGTGCAGCGGTTTAACGCCTACCTTTGGCCCAGGGCACGATTCTGGAGACCCGGGATCGAATCCCACGTCGGGCTCCTGGTGCATGGAGCCTGCTTCTCCCTCTGCCTAACTCTGCCTCTCTCTCTCTCTCTCTCTCTGTGTGTGTAACTATCATAAATAAATAAAAATAAAAAAAAAGAAATATCTTCCAGAATCTCAGTCATGTCAATCAACATCTTTTTTTCCACCCTGCCTTCAATTTATGTCAGTACACTAAGATATTTTACATAATTTATATCTTGGTTTTCTACAATACTTCTTATAATAAAGCTTTTCTAAATTGCCATGTAATCTCCATAATTTTATTTTACTGGACTTCTATATTTCCACAAGTTGTTCTAGGAAAATATGCTGACTAGTAAGTCAGCTTGTAAAATAAAACACAGGGCAGCCCCAGTGGTTTAGCGCTGTCTTCAGCCCAGGGCATGATCCTGGAGACCTGGGATGGAGTCCCACATCAGGCTCCCTGCACGGAGCCTGCTTCTCCCTCTGCCTGTGTGTCTGCCTCTCTCTCTTAAATAAATAAATAAATAAATAAATAAATAAATAAATAAATAAATAAATAAAGTAAGTAAGTAAGTAAGTAAGTAAGTAAATAAATAATATCTTAAAATAAAAATAAAACATAAAGGGGTTGCCTGGGTGGCTCAGTGGTTGAGCGTGCCTTTGACTCAGGGTGTGATCCTGGAGTTCCAGGATCGAGTCCCACATTGAGCTCCCTGTGAGGGGACTGCTTCTCCCTCTGCCTATGTCTCTGCCTCTCTCTCTGTCTCTCATGGACAAATAAATAAAATCTTTAAAAAACTAAAACAAAACATAAGGGAAATATATTTAAAAGTATGAGAAAATTAATTTCAAAAATGATTGTAGAACATAAAAATCTGACCAATGTATGAAACAACTGGTTAAAACATGAACAGAATGCCCTGGATTTTGAGGAACAAAGAAGAAAATAGGATAGTGTCCCTTAATTTCAGAGAGATAGGTAAAATGACATCTTGTACCAAAACAGAATTCAGAATCAGAGTATGTTTCTGAGTTTAATTTTTTTTAAAATTTTATTTATGATAGTCACACAGAGAGAGAGAGAGAGAGAGGCAGAGACATAGGCAGAGGGAGAAGCAGGCTCCATGCACCGGGAGCCCGACGTGGGATTTGATCCCGGGTTTCCAGGATTGCGCCCTGGGCCAAAGGCAGGCGCCAAACCGCTGCGCCACCCAGGGATCCCTGTTTCTGAGTTTAATGTGAGATTTTTATGTTTATCATATTTATGTATTGATATGTTTGCCTAATGGAATAAATGGCAGCATTTCAATTTTTAGTCTTTATATCCAAAAACTCTTCATAATAATATGGAAAATACCTGTTCCTTGAATTTTGGTGGTTTTTTTCTTTTTTAAGATTTTATTTATTTATTCGTGAGAGACAGAGAGAGAGAGAGAGAGAGAGAGAGAGAGAGAGAGAGGCAGAGACACAGGCAGAGGGAGAAGCAGGCTCCATGCAGGGAGCCTGACGTGGGACTTGATCCCAGGTCTCCAGAATCACACCCCAGGCCAAAGGCAGCACTAAACCGCTGAGCCACCAGGGCTGCCCTGTTCCTTAAATTTTGAAAGAAACCATCCGCTTGGGGCACCTGGGTGGCTCAGTCCATTAAGCCTCTGCCTTCAGCTCAGATCATGATCCCAGGGTTCTGGAATTGAGCCCCATGTTGGGCTCTCTGCTCAGCAGGGAGCCTGCTTCTCCTTCTCCCTCTGCCCTTCCCCCTCCTGTGTGCTCACTCTCAAATAAATAAATAGATTAAATAAATAAATCAATCTTTAAAAAACCCACTAGGTTTTGTTTCATGTAATTTGGTGCTCTGTTGTTAGGTGCATATATGTTTATAATTGTATTTATTCCTGTTTTATCCTTTTATCAATATAAAATTTATGGGCATAGACTGTTCATAATGTTAATCTTAAAACTATCATTTACCAGCAAAAGTGGGTTTATTTGGGAATAGGAGTGAATTGCAATTTGGGACATGCAAGGAATGGCAAAACCATAGGCAATCCGGGAAAACAAAGCAGAAGACTGCTCTTTTATAGAGAAAGGTGGGGAGTTTGGGAGGAGCTGTTATAAGCAGAGAGTAAACTGGGAGTTCCATTGTGTTGTGCTTCCTCATTGGCTGAGTTGTGACTCTCTGTCATTGTCTGGGTTTGCTGGGCCAGTAGTAAATCTTTCTTCTCCTGCTGAGGTAGTCAAGTAGTATCTACTCACAAGGCATCTCTTTCTGTTGGGTTTGTAATTGATGAGGAGTGGTAGGGTGTGAGAGCTTCTCCTCCTGGACTCCTTACTCCTTTTATTTATTTATTTTTTTTCCTTACTCCTTTTAAAGTGAAGTTTCCTGGAGTGCCTGGGTGGTACAGTCATTTGAGTGTTGGATTCTTGATCTCAGAGTCCTGAGTTCAAGCCCTGTGTTGGGCTGCACTCTGGGCATAGAGCCTACTTAAGAAAAAAAGTGAAGTTTCCTTTTATTAATTTTCACAATATTCTTTTAGTATTCTTTTCATATCCAAAGGATTCATAGTAATGACCCCTTTTTCATTTCTGACAGTATTTGTGCTGCTTGTCTTTTTTTATTGGTTAGCTTGGCTAAGGGTTTATCAATTGTATTGATCTTTTCAAAGAACCTGCTTCTGATTTTGTTGGTTCCCTCTATTGACTTCCTGTTTTTAATTTCATTGATTTCTATTCTATTTTTTATTATGGGTTTTCTTCTCTTCACTTTGGATTTAATTTTCTGTGCTTTTGTGGATATCAAGATAGAAACTAAAATTATTGATTTTAGATCTTTTTAAATATATGCATCCAGTGCTATAAATTTCCCTCTGAGCATTGCTTTCACTGCATCCCACAAGTTTTGATAAGTTGTATTTCCATTTTCATTTAGTTCAAAATGTTTTTAACTTTCTGGAGTTCTATTCTTTGACCTGTTATTTAGAAGTGTGTTGTTAAATCTCCATAATATTTTGGTATTTTCCAGTTATCTGTTATTAATTTCTAGTTTAGTTTCACTGTGATCTGAGAGCATACTCTTTCATGGCCTTGATGTGGTCCATCTTGGTGATATTTCACATGCACTTGAGAAGAATGTATGTTCTGCTAGTATTGGATGAAATAATCTATAAATGTTCAGTGAAGTGTCAGAATTGAAAGTGAAATTGGAATGGGCTCAAGAAAGAATGGAAAGAGGATGAGACTCACCCTGCCAACTAAGATAAAAGTTTTATTTCTTATTAGCTATATAATATTCATTTTGGTTGCTTGATTTTCAGTATTATAATATCCTATTTTTTTTTGTATTGAGAAGATAAATTGGTGGGCCACAGTAATAATTTTAACACTGCCACAATAGATGGATGCTATTTTTCCCCTTTTGCCAAGCCAAACATTTACACACACACACACACACACACACACACACACACACACAGAGTTCATTTAATAGACCCAAAATGACATTTTGTTCATTAAATGTATGATTCTTAGATTACTAGTAAGCCTGAAGATTGTTTCATACCTCCTGTAGCCATTTATCTAAAAATTATCTGTTCATGTCTTATTGGACTATCTCCTTGCTGTCCTTCCTCCCCTATCTCATCCATCTGGTCTCAGTTTAAAGGCCATTTCCCCAGAGTCCTCTCTGGAAAGTCCACCTTTAACACTCTTCTAGAATCCTTTCCTTCCTAGCACTTGTCAATGTGGGGCTGTGTATGTATTTTTGATTGTAAAGATTTTCTATCCCCCTCCTCCCCCACCTCCCACTCTAAGAAACTCCATGGGTGTGTTGCTTCCCTTTATAGCTCAGGACCTTGTTATACATCTTTAGGGGATGTATACCTTTGATTTGTAGTTGCTACTGGAATTGGATATCTGGTCTTTAAGATGTTCTAACTGGCCCTTGCTGCTCTATTGGAAAACTATCCGTGTACGCTTACTGTTCTTCATTAACTGGTTGTCAGCTCCTTATTGAGCACCTCTTTGAGGTGCTGTCCCTGGGCATCTTGGCTCTGAGCTCAAGGGCAGGGGTGAGAAACATTCATTCTGTTCCAGATCCTCCAGGGTCCAGGGGTAGGTGCAGGGAAGTCAGGCAGCCCAGGGCACAGATGGCACCTGTGAGGAGGGGTTTGTGTCATGAAGTATCACACGTGGACAGGCCTCAAGGACTGTGTGGTCAAACCCTTGCATAAGGGACAGAACAGACCCCACCCTCTTCAGTTACTGCCTAGCAGCCAATTACCCTTTGTTTCTAGGCATGATAACCAGGCAGACACCAGCCAGTCTTCTCAAGAAATAAAAGAATAACATTGCTGGCAGCCAATTTTGTCCTTGGTTTTTAAAGGGTACTGTAGGCTTGAAATACAAAGTCAATAAAGGCCACACACACAAAAACTATCCTTTAAGTGTTTGAATTAGGGCTCAGGATTGAACTATATCATCAAATGTCCTTCTTTTAGTATGCTTTGAACCAAAACAAAGCTTAGAACATGTTTAAAAAATAACAAAAAAGGAGAAACAAAACTATTATTTGTAGATGGTATAATTTGGACCACAAATTATACCAGAACTGAGAAATTACTGAAAATTAACAACATTCAATGGAGGTGGCTAATTTCACATATATAATTAAAAATAATTCCTATGTAAGAATAGTAATCAACTAGAAAAATGCAAGTAAAAAACTATTTACAATTACAAAACTGTACAGAACTTACATGAAGAAAATTAGAAAAATTTATTCAAGAATATGATACTTTTTAATAAATGGAAAGGCATGTTTCTGATGGGAAACAAAATTTATAAAGGTAGCAAGTTTTCCCAATAGTTTATAGGATTAACTTATTTCAATCAAAATACCAATGTAAAACTTTAAGAAACCTAAAAGAAAAGGAGAAATTGATAAAAAAAAATCTTTAAAATAACACACCACAGGATCGGTTCCGTGAAGGCACCGCTGGCCCTGCCTCTGGGCAGACAAGTCAGGAAAGTCTGGGTATGAGGTGATAGAGAACAAATAGCCATGGCAATGAAGACACTGGAATCTCATCTCTTTGAGATCTCATCTCTTTGAGGGGCAATGAGAGCAAGCCACTGGAGACAAGTGATAAAAATAAAACACTTTGCTTGTGAGGTAGTGACCACCCATTGCCAAGGGTCTGGTGACTGCTTCAAGGGAAATTAAGCACATGGTAAGGTTATTGACCAGTCATGGGTCTAAGCCAAGGTCTTCCTTCTCTTCAGGCTCTTAGATTTCCTTTGTAGCCAGGTTTTCTTCTTGGCTCATCAGACCGACAGGATTCTGAAGAGCTTTTCCAGTATTGGGTCTGGGTGGCTGGGCCTGAGTGATCCAAACTTCTTTTGGCAATGGAAAGGCATGAGAGAGCTGTCTGAGCAATAGCTGGGCAAAATAGAGTAAGAACAGTAGACATTTATGTTGTGAAAAGTATTCATGTGAAAGTTACTTTTCACTACAAAATGCAAATGTTGAGATCAACTGTTAATTTAGATCACATAAAAATGACAGACTTTGACATTCAAATGCTGTATTTTCCTATATTCCAAAGTAAACAATCCCTTTCAACACTTAAGCTTTAACAGGGTATTCTTAGAAGGTTAAGTGAATTGCTAATAGAAGCTGTTGGCATAACAAATCAGTAGTTTTGTTCTTTTAGGGGAACACTGTTCCAGATAAGGACCTTTGCATTATTTTTTTCTCAAGTGTGAATTCCTATGTGTGTGTGTGGGGTGGGGTGGGGATGGATACACTTTCCGTACACGAGTCACTCTGTTCACCTTGCAGGTGAGTGGCCTCCAGACTCATGTTTGAAGCCTTTTTTGGGAAAGGAAATCTGTGGCCTACACACTGTTGTATAAGTTCACAAAAGAAAGCTCCTTAATCCAGAAAGTGTGGATGCTGAGGTATAGCCCTTGAGGATGTTTTCCCCTGTGAATTTTCTAAAAATTTGAGGTTTCAGCCAAGATGGGTATTTGTCCAATTTTGGCTATAATGAGGTTTTCACATATCTGTAATCTTTTCAGACAGCCTGGGAATTCAGAATTCCTTATAAAACATTTCGGGTTGAGGCAGGATCATCAGACCTTTCTTGATCCCATTTCTGCTTTCCAGTCTTACATGCTGAGTGGGTTTTTTCATGCCGGGTACAGTTGGACAGCCGACCAAATCTTCTCCCACATTTTTTGCAACTATACGGCCTCACAGCCTCATGACTCTGCATATGAAGCACAAATTGTTTGTTCCCTGGGAAGGTTTTCCCACATTCTAGACACTTAAACATCTTCTCTCTTATATGGATTCCTTCATGGCGACTCCGATGAGAGTTTTGACGAAAGTGCTTCCCACAATGAGAACATGAATAAGGTTTCTCTCCTGTATGGATTCGTTCATGTTTATTAAGGTTTGTTTTATGATTGAAGCTTTTCCCACAATGACTACAGTCATAGGGTTTTTCTCCAGTGTGAATCCTCTGGTGAGAAATAAGGTAAGAACTATCATTAAACTGTTTCCCACACAGTGGGCAAGTGTACCATCTTCTTGTTCTCCGATTTCGGGTAAGTGCAATCACATTGATATCTACATATTTTGAGAGTTCCTCTAGTGGAGTGTCATTTTCAATGGTAACTAGAAGATTTCTAATTTTCCTTTGCTTTGGAAAAGATGTATTTAGTCTTTCTTTATGGAAATATGGAGACTGCTCAGAGACCACAGAACAATCTACTTCATTACAATCAGAAGCCTTTTCTCTATGATTTTCATTCTCTACAGTTTCCTTCTGAAGATCTTCACTCTCAGGATTAACATCATTGACTGTGGAAACAAAGAGAATTTAATAACTTTTGAGGGATGTTATACCACTCAGGAAAAAACAAGTTAAATTTCTCATCAAACAGCAGTGTGGAATATATGACTGATAAATCTATGAATATGAGCACACAGTCTTTTTTTTTTTTTTTTTAACAAAATGAGTGGGACTACACTGAAAGATTTCATGTTTTCCTTTCTGACATAGGCACTAATTACTCACCAAGTACATACTCATATTCTGTGTAAAGCACTGAGCTTAGGACCATGGAATGAAGGACATAAATACTAAAAGGTACCACTCATTCTCTTTAGAAGGCTAGTAAGTGAACAGTAAGATGAGTTACTTCTAGGTTTTTACTACATTAAATATTACGATATATAATTAGATACTACTATAATATCCTATATAGGGAAAAACTGGAAACGATTCAAATGACTAAAAATAACGAAGGCATATCACATTCACTCAGTGGATGATTATATGGGCATTAAAGTGATTACCACAAGTGACAAAACTAAACTATGGTAGAAATAAGTGTGGTTTCTTTAGGGGAGGAATGGGAGTTATTGGGCAGTGGGCACAAGAGGGACTTCTCGGGTGCTAGGAATAGTCCATTTGAGTGGTTAGACAAATGTACACATTTTGTGAAAATATGAGGTTGTACACTTATGATTTGTAGACTTCTGTATTTGTATCTTCAAAAGTCTGTATAAAATAACAGATTATAAAGACTACATAACAGGGGTGCCTGGGTGGCTCAGTTGAGATGCCTTTGGCTCAGGTCATGATCCAAGGTCTTGGGATCGAGCCTCAGGTCAGGCTCCCTGATGAGCAGGGAGCCTGCTTCTCCCCCTCCCTCTGTCCCTACCTCCCTATCCCCCCCATCCACTCACATACTTATATGCTCTGCTCTCTCAAATAAATAAATAAATAAATAAATAAATAAATAAATAAATACTAGATAACAAAGTTAAAAAAAAAAGTATTCTGTGAAAAGGTGGAACGACAAGGGATCCTCTGAACTCTGGGCAACTTGCTGAGAATAAAGGGTTAAATCAATCATTCTATATGTGGCTGACTACAGCCTAGAATATGCATCTTTGCTGGACTTCACAGTTTCATACCAATAGGCATTTTCTGTTTCATTTACTCCTTTAGGTAATGAAACACTGGGTCAAAGCATATGGCAATATTTATCACAGCTCTTGACAAAGACTGCCTACTTCTTTCAAAAGAAGCTGTACCAATTTTAAAACTGCTCGATCTCGGGACTCCGGGATCACGCCCTGAGCCAAAGGTAGATGCTCAACTGCTGAGCCACCCAGGTGTTCCTGAGCTGAGACTTTTATAAATTTAAATAAATTCTACATGCTGCAAATCTTAATCCCTGTGTCAATCACCCCTAAAGTAAATATTTAACTGAAGTCTTCTGTAACTCCACAACTTAAAACCATAAAAAAGTATCAGTCTTTCAAAATCTGATACATTTTTAGGGGCACCTGGGTGGCTCAGTCTGTCAAGTGTCTGCCTTGGGCTCAGGTCATGATCTTGGGGTCCTGAGGTCGAGCCCCGATCAGGCTTCCTGCTTAGTGGAGAGTCTGTTTCTTCCTCTCCCTCTCCTCTCAACTCATGTCTCTCCCACTAGCTCTGCTCTCTCTCAAATAATAAAAAATCTTTTTAAAAACCTCAAAAAAGGGGATCCCTGGGTGGCTCAGCGGTTTGGCGCCTGCCTTTGGCCCAGGGTGTGATCCTGGGGTCCCTAGGTCAGGTCCCGCATTGGGCTCCCTGCATGGAGCCTGCTTCTCCCTCTGCCTGTCTCTGGCTCTCCCTCTCTCTCTCTGTGTGTGTCTCTCTCATGAATAAATAAATAAAATCTTAAAAAAAAAAACAACCCTCAAAAAACAAAATCTGATAAATTTCCTATTTTCTAGCCATTCCTTTGACTTATATTTACATTTAACTCTTAATACATTTGGAGCTTAGTATCACACTGTATGTTATTGTTTGTAACATGTCTAATATTGGTAAAAATCAGCCAGAACATCCTTTTTAAAAGTTTGACTCTAAAGTAAAAAAAAATAAAAATAAAAAATAAAACATAAATAAAAGTTTGACTCTGCACACTATAAATAAATTTGAAGGGCTTCAATATCTTCATATGACTTTAGTTTTCCCATTTAGGTTTATGTTTCTCTAATACTTAAGAATCTTTTTTTTTTTTTTTTTTTAATTTACGATAGTCATACAGAGAGAGAGAGAGAGAGAGAGGCAGAGGCACAGGCAGAGGGAGAAGCAGGCTCCATGCACCGGGAGCCTGACGTGGGATTCGATCCCAGGTCTCCAGGATGGCGCCCTGAGCCAAAGGCAGGCGCCAAACCGCTGCGCCACCCAGGGATCCCCTTAAGAATCTTTTATATTTACCAATAAAACGTGGCTTACTATTTTTTTTAAAGATTTATTTATTTATTTATTTATTTATTTATTTATTCATTCATTCATTCATTCATGAGAGAGAGAGAGAGAGAGAGAGGCAGACAGACACACAGGCAGAGGGAGATGCAGGCTCCATGCAGGGAGTCCCACGTGGGACTCGATCCCGGGTCTCCAGGATCAGGCCCTGGGCTGAAGGCAGTGCCAAACGCTGAGCCACCCGGGCTGCCGTGGTTTACTATTTTATAGCCTTTTTGAAAGACAGCTTCTATCATTTTGTCTTAATTTAAGAACTTATTGTTATACATTCCCTACCTACTTTATATTAAAGATGTTTTTGTTCATTCTTTTAGATTTTCTAAGTACAAACCATACTTTGTTCCCTCCCTTCCGGATATTTATACTAATTTTTTAAAAAATATTTTTAAAAAAGATTTATTTATGATAGGGAGAGAGAGGGGCAGAGACACAAGAAGAGGGAGAAGCAGGCTCCATGCCAGCAGCCCGACGTGGGACTCGATCCCGGGACATCAGGATCGCGCCCTGGGCCAAAGGCAGGCGCTAAACCGCTGAGCCACACAGGGATCCCCTAAAAAACATTTTATTTGAGAGAGACAGAGACAGAGATAGCGAGAGAGAGAGCACAAGTCAGGAGAAGAGGGAGAAGGAGAAGCAGGCTCCTTGCTCAGCAGGGAGCCAGACTCAGGGCTCGATCCCAGAATCCTGGGATCATGACCGGATCCAAAGGCTTAACCAACTTAGCCACCGCCAATATTTATTCATCTTAACCTTATGTCCTTTTGCTTCTTCCAGTCAAATATTAATAGTGATAGCAGATTTCCCTATTTTGTTCTCTTTTTTCCCAAGATTTTGTTCATTTATCTCAGAGAGAGAGAGAGAAAGCACACATGAGAGCACATGAACAGAGGGAGAGTAATGATAGGAAGCAGGTTCCATGCCCTTTGTGGAGCCCAACACAGGGCTTGATCTCACAACTCTGAGATCATGACCTGAGCCAAAGTAAGAGTTGGACACTCAACTGACTAAGCCACCCAGGCGCTCCAGCATATTAATTTTTAAGATAAACATTTTTAGGAACTAACATATGGTTTATATGGTTTATATGGTTCAAAAGTCTAAACATGAAAAGGTCTTACTCTAGTCCCTGTCCCCCATTCACTGTACTCATCTCCCAGATAGGTACCAGTTTTTACTAGATTCTTTTTTATTCTTCCATTGTTTCTCTAGATGATGGATTTTCCTTTCTCCTCTCTTGTATCAAAGTAGTATACTATATATATGTCTGCTACTTGCTTTATTTTGATCATTATTTCTGGTGCAGGGCAATTATCATGGTATGTTGTGTGGACACATCATATTCAACTAGTCCCCTGCAGAGATACTTGGATTGTTTCCAACCTTGTGTTTTAACAAACAATACTATGATGAATAACCTCATTTGCATATTATTTTCAATGTGTGCTGTTATCTGTAGGTTAGATTCTCAGAAGTGGGACTGTTGGATCAAAGGCAAATGCATCTTTAATACTGGTAATTAGATTTTCACATAGAGGGAGTGTATCATTTTGCATGTCCACCAGTTCCAACAACCTCACCACCAATGTGTTAAGTTTCTGATTTCTAGAAATCTGATAGATGAAAAAAGATGGTAACTTGGTAGAGATTTAATTTGCATTTCTAAATATGAGTAGGGTTGTACACCATGTGTTTATGGGTCATTTGTATTCCTAAGGGGCTTTTTCTTGGCGTGCAAAAGTAAGGTATGATTCACCAAATGGCTGAATTGTCCCAACACCTTTATGAGTCCCTTCTGCTCTGATGCTCTTTTCAGTTTTCCTGGTTACTTGTTATTTATTTTTCCATTTGAATTAGACAGGTTGTCTAGTTCCAGGGGGAAAAATCCTACTGGTATTGTTAAAGGAATCACATTCACTTATTTCCTAAATCAACTTGGGGAGAACTGACATTTTAATGTTAAATTTTCGTAGTCAACACCGTATTTCTTCCCACTCATTCAAATCTACTTCTGTGGTGCAGCCCCGGTGGCGCAGCGGTTTGGTGCTGCCTGCAGCCCAGGGTGTGATCCTGGAGACCCCAGATCGAGTCCCACATTGGGCTCCCTGCATGGAGCCTGCTTCTCCCTCTGCCTGTGTCTCTGCCTCTCTCTCTCTCTCTCTCTCTGTGTCTCTATGAATAAATAAATAAAATGTTTAAAATAAAAAAATCCACTTCTGTGTTCTTTAGAAGTGTTTTTGAAGTTTTCCTCATAATTTCTGCATATTTAAGTTTATTTATAGGTGTTTAATATTTTTTGTTCCTATTTTATAACTTCTAAGTGACTGCAGGTACAAAAGCTAATGATTTCCATATAATTCATTCCATTGCTTACTGAATGCTCTCATTTATAATTCTCAGATATTCTAGGGTTTTCCAGTTATAGAATTGTATCATATGTAATAGGCGGTTTTATCTGTTTTTTAAATTCTTATACATCTAATTTCTTTCTCATTTACCTGCCCTGGCTAATACCTAAAACACAGTATTAAATAGT